AAAGCGGTCGCCTGCCCTCAGCCCTGTGTATTCAGGGATGGTGCTGCCTGGCCGGCTGCCACGCAGAGAGGTGGCACCTCCTGGGGCTGTGGTTTCCTCTGCCTCACACAGAGGGGAAGGACCCAGCCCCCTCCCTTTGCCCACACGGGGCTGGTGGCTGAGCTGAGAACCCAGCTCCCAACCCAGAGCAACTGGCTCAGCATGGTGCTGCCTCTGCTTCTGCTTCTGCTGGGTAAGTGCCCCCCTCAGCCCCCAGATCCCCGTGTGACTCCCCCTCACGTCCCTCCATCCCTGTGCAAGCCTGAACCCTGCCCAGGGCGCTGACTCCTTCTCTTCTCTTGCAGCCTCACTCCAGAGTCTCCCCAGGCTGGTGTCCCCTGCAGGTAACGACCCCACGACCTCCTGGAGAGGCTCTTGGTTGGGATGGGGGAAGTGGGGATCCCCTTCCTCTCGCTGTTGGGAACAATGCCGTGTTTGGAATTGCAGGGAAAAGGGGCCCTTGGGTGCCCTGTGTCATCCCCTAAGTGGGCCAGGCTGTTGGCCAGTGCCTGTCGGATGGCCTCATTTCCACGTGAATGGCTCTGTCGCAGGCTCGGTGTCCTACCAGTAGGTCTGGCCGGCTTTTCATGTTTGCGTTACCTAGATGCTCTCCGGAGTGAGACTCACAAGGCAGAAGCAGCCACAGAACAAGGACAGTAAAAGGCAGGTGAGGGGACACTGGGAGCCAATGGTGCTTCCAAATTTTCTGTTGCCCTACGCCGCTGCACATCCTGCATGTAGATGAGGACAGCCCTGCCACCAAGCAAGTCAGATTCACAACATGCCCTTGTGGAGATATACAGAGTGCAGGTCAACACAATTCCCTCACTCACAGGACGCTGAGACCTGCTCCCTCAGACGGCTCACAGCTGCCTTCTAGAAACTTTCCTACCTTGGCTTTCCTCCAAGCCCTTCCCGCAGCCCCTCCCTGGGCCGTCTGCACGGCTGCTTCCCACCGGCCTCCCCTTCTGCCTCCATGACCCAAGACAGACAGGAGAGCGTCTCCCCACAGCCCCCATCTCAGCTGGGCTGTCTCCCTTTTTGCTGCGCCCTGAGCCCTTCCCCAGCTGGGCTCCCTCTCCATCTGGACCTGGCCTCCTGCTATTGCTTTCCCTCTGAGTGCCAGAGCCAGGTCATTTCCATCCCACAGGGTCAGGGTTTCGGGACTGGACACCCTCCCCCACCCCGTTGCTGCCCCTCTGGGCTATGGCTCCCTGTGACACTGCAGAACCTCCAAGGAGCTGCGAGGTCCCCGGCTGGTGTCCAAGGGCTGTGACACCATTGGAGTGAACTCGTCCCAAGCGCAGCAGGGGCAGCTCAGTGTGACTCAAGGCAGCTTCTTTTCCACTACGTGACACAGCCCCTCCTCCCCCCCCCCATCAGGGCTGGTGCTGCCTGGCCGGCTGCCACGCAGAGAGGTGGCACCTCCTGGGGCTGTGGTTTCCTCTGCCTCACACAGAGGGGAAGGACCCAGCCCCCTCCCTTTGCCCACACGGGGCTGGTGGCTGAGCTGAGAACCCAGCTCCCAACCCAGAGCAACTGGCTCAGCATGGTGCTGCCTCTGCTTCTGCTTCTGCTGGGTAAGTGCCCCCCTCAGCCCCCAGATCCCCGTGTGACTCCCCCTCACGTCCCTCCATCCCTGTGCAAGCCTGAACCCTGCCCAGGGCGCTGACTCCTTCTCTTCTCTTGCAGCCTCACTCCAGAGTCTCCCCAGGCTGGTGTCCCCTGCAGGTAACGACCCCACGACCTCCTGGAGAGGCTCTTGGTTGGGATGGGGGAAGTGGGGATCCCCTTCCTCTCGCTGTTGGGAACAATGCCGTGTTTGGAATTGCAGGGAAAAGGGGCCCTTGGGTGCCCTGTGTCATCCCCTAAGTGGGCCAGGCTGCCCCCTTCTTGGGCGATCGCTGTGATACCACAGCAGCAGCAGCAGCACCTACAGTCTGGAGCCACATCCATTGGGGTGAATGAACCACCCAGCTCAGGGCTGCTGGCTGATTCCCTTCAGTAGGGCCCAGCCCAGGCCATGGGGGAGAAGCTGCCCCCATCCCCATCGGCACTACCCAGCCCCCCACTGGCAGTCCCAGCAGACAGAGAAAGGGCTGGAGGGGCCATGGAGAGCTCCCCCCTCCCCATGACACTGAACCCCTGGGCAGGGCCTTTCAGGGTGGGGCTGTGTGTGTGGGGGGGTCTCTCTGTCCCTGCTCTGGGCTCCCCCAGACTGCTCAGGGCTGGGGACACAAACCAAGCACCGTCCCAGGGGACATTAAAAGGAGGCTTTGCAGACACCCCAGAAGAAACCTCCCCTCTTCTCTCTTCCCCGCATCCGCCTGAGCTTCTTCTTTTCTCTTCGGTCCCTTCTAGTTACTGCCGGGCAGCTGCCAGGTTGCCCCCTTCTGCCCCTGCCCCTGCCCCTGGATGGTTACAATGTGGTGATGGGAATGGGGATCGTGGAGCAGAACAATTTGCATCAACATCCCTGCCCCCTTGGCAGAGGCGTAGTGAGGGTGTTATGCACCCAGCGGCAAAAGCAAAATTTTCACCCTCCCCCCCCCACTATTCAGGGTCCCCAAACCTGCTGCACAGCTGAGCCTAACCCTGGGAGGAGGGGGGAGCTTGTATCGTACCTTCCTCCACCCCCTCCAACGGGGGGCCAGCCCCCGCATGCACTAACCCGCTGGCAGAAATGCAGGAGGGCGGGGCTGTGGGTAGGGAGGAGGCTCCAGCCAGCAGTGGTGGGTGGAGGAGGAGCAGGCGAGCCGAAGGATGATAGAGAGAGCAGGGGGGGGACTGAATTAGTACCCCTAGCATGGCACCCGAGGCAACTGCCCCCCCTTACTGCCCCTCACTATGCCCCTACCTCTTCATACCCCACTTCCCTCTGGAAGCTCAGAGTGAGGACCCTGGAGATCTTGAGGTACATGAAGGATCCTCCCCAACAACCCTGGTACCTCTAGACTCCATCCTGGGCTCCTGCCCTTGGCCCTGAGCTGGGCCCCAGCACTGTCAGAGTCCCACACAGCCAGTCATCCCCTCTGTGTATGGGAAGAAAGGGAAGGAGTCTGGGGGTCAAAGAACGGGCCAAGCTGTGAGTGAAGGGTGGGACGTTGCACAGGTCGGTGTAGGTGGGGTGGGGGGAGGGAGCTGGAAATTCTCACACCAAGAATCTCCAAGAGCTGAATCTGCATGTCCCAGACCAGTGAGTGGTTCCAACCTTTCCTATTCCAGGGCCGGCAAACCCTGTCACAAACTTTTGGTGGACTGGTAACATTTTATTTGCATATTCATGATGCAAATTATAAGAATAAAATCAAAGCCCCGACACCCAGCAAACAGCCCCTCTCCCCTCCTATCCCAGCCTGTAGGGGGGCCCGTGTGTGCCCCTGTCTCACACACAAATGCTGCACACACGTTTGTCTCCAACCCCAAGCCACTTGCAAGGGACTGTGGGATCATTGCACGGTGGAAGGGAGAAGGTGGAAGGGGAGGGATGAACCAGTTTCCAGACCCCCCCATTGAATCCATCGGGGCCAAGCACTCAACCTGGAACAGGGAGGGGACAACATGCAGGGATTTTATCTGTAAGGTTTTGTGCTGGGAGGTTGCAAATCCAGCCACCAGCTCCCTCTGCTGGCACCAGTCTCAGACCTGCCCTGAGAGGTGCGGGCAGGGTGGGGGAGGACACAGCGTAGCTTTGGAAAGGAGGATCCCCTTTCCACAGACCCTTGCACAGTCCGAGTCTGGAGCCGGGAGGGAGGCAGTAGCAGGAGGGGAGGGAGAGATTGGGGGTGGGGAGAGGCGGCAGCAGGAAGGCAGGGAGAGGCTGGGGGCGGGAGGGAGGAGGCAGAGGAGGCAAGCGGGGGATGGGGGGGGGGGGATGGAGGGAGGGGGAGGGGAGAGAGAG